CTGAGGCAGGAGAATCACTAAAGATCAGGAGTTTGAGATCAGCCTGGCCCACATGGGGAAACCTCATCTCTACTAAAATTGCAACCACCACCACAACAAAGCTGGGCGTGGTGGTGGCACACCAGTAATCCCAGCCACTCAGGGGGCTGAGGCATGAGCATCACTTGAGCCCGGGAGCTGGAGGTTGCGGTGAGCTGAGTTTGCACCACGACTCTCCAGCCTGGGCCACAGAGTGACACTCTGTCTCAAAACAGAGCAGAGCAAATCAGATCAAAGCAAAACAAAACGAAAGTCTTCTTAGATCCAAACTGGATTCCGGCCTTGATTCCACTAGTCACCATTCAACTACTTGCATCCCTCAGTCTCTGTTTCTTTAACTTCCAAAGGAAGTTAGCGTTTTCCTCGCGTGGGTGCTGAGGATTAAATGAGATGATACGTGGAAAGCATTAGGCGTGTAGCACACTTGGCAGAGGGTGGTCGGCTCCCTGTGCTTTTCCCCAGTCTGTGGCCTACAGTTTAAATAGTGGAAGGAAGGACGTGAGATTTGAGGCTGGGGAAGGATGCATGGGGTTCTAGGCAAGGGAGGCAGTCTCTTAGGCTGGAGCCAGGGGCCAGGCGCCTGGGCAGGCCACCTTCCTCTGTGGCCCCTCCCAGACCCCCTTATGCTCTTGGTTTCTCCGCCTTCTGATTCATCTGGACCCTCACCCCTTCCGGGAGCCAGTGTTCAGACACCATCGTGACTAACAGGTGCACTCTCCGAGACCCCAAGGGTAGGGGCTGCGCGCCACCTCCCTGCTCCATCTGTCCTGTGTATGCCCCTACAAGAATGCTCCCCTCTTGCCTTCAGGTGCCATTTCTGAACGCTGCTGGAGCCGGTGCCCAGGAGGAGCAGGCACGGCTCTGTGAGCAGCTCCAGAAACAACAGGTGTGCAGCCAGCACCAGGCTCACCCGGTGGCCTCGGCCCTGAGGGAGCCAGAGGCAGCGACCGCAGCCACAGGGACTAAGAGCGACCGTGGGTGTGGGGAGACCCAGTGGGCCCTGCAGGGCGCCATTGACAAGCTGCAGGTGAGTGAGTCCTGGCAGGGGCCATGAAGGGTGGGTTGGGGTAGGTCGCTGCCGAGATGTGACCCCATTATTTCGGCTCCAGAATGACTTCATGGCCCTCTTGAAGGAAAATGCCGACCTGAAGGAGCGGGTGGAAAAACTAGAACTCGGACTCATCCAGCTCTCTGGAGAGAGAGACATGATAAGTGAGCAGGAGGCCAGGGCAGGGCAGGGGAGCTGCAGGGTGGTGGGAGGGACCCCAGTGTCTGAGCCTGTCCTCCTGCAGGAAAGTCCATCAAACCAAATGACCATCAGACAGCAGTGGCCAAGACCCAGCACCAGAAGAAGAACAATGTTAGCATGCTGTCCGAGGCTGAGGAGGGGATGAAGGTAAGGTGTACAACATCTCTGCGGGGGTGAGGGGGATGGGGGTGGGTGTGAGCGTGGGTGCCGGCACCCGCGTGGTAGCTGAGCACCCCTATCTCCAGGTGAAGCTGCTGGAGCTGCAGGGCCCAGTGATGCAGCTTATGATCGGCCACGAGGTCCAGCACCCTGCTAATGATTCCACTCCAGGGGCCCCAGCCCCCCAGGAACCTGGTGCTGCTGACAAGGATGGTGAGTAGAGCCCTCAGGTGGGGTGGGCAGGGAGGAGCAGGGGAGGCTGACGCTGTACTGAGATTCCCACCTCTCTCCCTCCAAAGAATTTTATGAGATGAGCCTGGATGATGACAGCGACAGCCTGGAGACTGCAGGAGGGAGAGTACACCACACCCCACTGCACAGCAGATTGCTTACGGCTGTGTGAGCTGCGGGATGGCCAGCAACACTGACCCTTGGGTAGCAGTCCCTCTGTGCCATGCTTTTACCGGGCTGCTGCGAAGGAGGAGGTAAACATCACCATCAGCTAAGAGCTGGCCAAGAAATTTACAAAGGAACAAAGTTATAGGATTAGTCTTCTACATGTTTACTTTATTTGAATGTTAGAGCCACTCATGATGATTTGTGCTTCTAATTTATAGTTTATTTGTTAAAAGTTAAAGGAGAGTGGGTCTT